GATTTAAAAAAAAACATTATTCGTGATATTATTAATGGTGAAAAAACAATCTGCTGCCAAAAGAAAAGCTTTTCACCAGTCTTGAAAGGGCTGAGCAATATATTATTGGGATATACATAAATAACCCTGGCTCGATATAGTACCTACCAGTCTCGCCTGATACTAGGAATATAGTATAATCTGATGATTTTTAAGATTAAAGAAAATCACCCGGTATTCTTAGCATTTTTTTTTAAAGGTAAATGTCCATTTCTCGTATGAACTTGCTCGACATTATCTACAATAGTATTTTTTGACAGATAATAATTTGTATTTGAGATATTGGTTAAGACTTTAACAGAATAGGATTGGTTTGAATCAGTTTTAGCCAATTAAATGTAAAGGATATCAAGATTCTGAGACTTTAATCGACTAAGATTGATAACTCTCCATTTTAACAATTTAAACAAAGATTTACCTTTCAATTTTTCTTTATTCGTAAAATATCAAATTAAAAGCTCTTTTTAATTATTTTTTTACCATGAGGATCGTTCTGACATATTTTCAAAGATATAGATCATTTATTACATTTAGAGGTTGCAAAACACTCTAAAGAGGGGTAATAAATATATATGTAAAAGCATTGGTTTCTGATACAATACATGGTTTCTGATGAAATGCCTTATTCTAACCTTGACTTAACCCGTAACCTTCAAAAATTTTAATTAAAGAATTGAAGTCAAAAACGCATTTATCATTTTATCTTAGTACTGCATGAATAACCAGGGCTGGGTAAAGGATGGACTACTGTTCCTGTGTTCCTTCAAATTGTTTAGAACCCTACAAAAGACATTTAATGTTTTTTAAGGAAAAATTGATTTTTCTAATTTTCTAAATTTTAATTACAAATTCTCAAGCATGCTATTTTACGACCTTTCTTTTGAATCATAAAAAAATGTATTTCACATTTTTAGTGTAAAATTTAGAAAGTAGAGAAAAAATAAACTTTGGCCATGTGGTTATCTTCTGAAAAGGAGCGGCATGAAAAATTAAGATCTTTTCTGAAAAACTTTACAGTTTCGTCACGACCCTGGATCCTAATTTTAACTATTATCTGCATTTGTTTCAAGACATTAATGTATAGTTTTTCTGACTAAATATCTACAAAACAATTAAAACCGCCTAAGGGTGTCGTCAAAAATAGCAAAAACGGAAAATTCAGATTTTTTTTTTTTTGATTTTCAAAACTTTTATTTTGTTAGTTCTTACTACTACTCTACAGGATGTTCTTTATAGATTAACCTCAATGTGTGTTTTTATGATCAGTATCATACGAGAAAAGTAAACGCATCGGGGGTCGCAAATTAATGTTTAAGGGAAGAAAAAGCAGCAACGATATAGAAATTTGAAAATTTAAACTAGAGGAAAGGGAATTTAATAAACATAAAAAAAAGCGTTTAATTGGTAGTTGAAATTTTAAAGTGTTAGTAAGAATTGTTTTTCTATTCCTCCCTGCTTCCTTTCGCAATAAAACCTATCTTGTTCCCTATTATATTCACGTTAACCCTTTGCTTATGGTTGGTACATTTAGTGGACCAGAATGACTTTATAATGTTTAATAAACATCAAAAAAGGAGTTTAATTGGTAGTTGAAATTTTAAAGTGTTTGTAAGAATTGTTTTTCTATTCTTCCCTTCTTCCTATCGCAATAAAACCTATCTTGTTCTCTATTATATTCGCGTTAACCCTTTGCTTGCGGTTGGTACATTTAGTGGACCAGAATGACTTTATAATGTTTAATAAACATCAAAAAAAGAGTTTAATTGGTAGTTGAAATTTTAAAGTGTTAGTAAGAATTGTTTTTCTATTCTCCCCTGCTTCCTTTCGCAATAAAACCTATCTTGTTCTCTATTATATTCGCGTTAACCCTTTGCTTACGGTTGGTACATTTAGTGGACCAGAATGACTTTATAATGTTTAATAAACATCAAAAAAGAGTTTAATTGGTAGTTGAAATTTTAAAGTGTTAGTAAGAATTGTTTTTGTATTCCTCCCTGCTTCCTTTCGCAATAAAACCTATCATGTTCTCTATTATATTAGCTTTAACCCTTTTCTTACGGTTGGTACATTTAGTGGACCAGAATGACTTTATAATGTCATGCGCTGAAAAGCAAAAGGTTAATGTACTATGATTTTTGTATTTTTGTAAGTATTTTTAACATATATATTCTTAATATGCATTTTTAGAATTTTGAACATTCAAAAATATACAAATTGGGAGGCAAAAATTAATATTTAAGAGAGCAAAAAAAACGTTATGAAAATCTAACAATTTACAATAGAGTAAGGTGTGGATGCGAAACTGGTTTAATAAGAGGATGAAATTTAAAAGTGTCTGTAATAATCATTTTTCAACTCCTCTTTTCGTCTCCCTGCAATCAATTGATGATGATTTGTCAATATGATGATTTGTCAGGTTTCAATCCTGCAAAATAACCAATCATTCATAGTCAATCTTTTAACAGGATTTCAGGTTAAAACAGAACTAATAATTTCGACTTTCTTCTTTTACGGTGTTATTGTTTTTTTCTGTTTGACTTGACGTTTGGCATTTTAGATTAATTAATAAGAATACGTATTTAATTTTACCCATGACACAACAAGCAGATTCCAGCCACTGTACCATTTCCGTATTCCTGACCAATTCATATTTCATAATCGATTAATCATCAAATACACAAATCCTTATGTACGTAGATGTAAAAGTATAAGTCAAACATAATTGCAAAGGAGACTGAACAAGGATGGTCTGTTTGCCCGACCGCCAGTACGGTGTATTCCATTAACGCCAGTTCACCGGGGACGCCGTTTACTCTGGTGCGGGGAATACAGCAACTGGTCAGATGCGCAATGGGGTAGAGTACACTTTGCAGAAGAGAACAAATTTAGTCTGACCAGTGATTCTGGAAGCATGCATATCTGGAGAGAGCGAGAAGCACGTAATCTCTCCTCTAACATTATCGAAAGACACTGATTCGGAGGAGGTGGAGTTCTTGTATGGGGCCGGATCATGCTTAGCACCCGTACTGATTTTTACATCTTCCAAGGTGGTTCTGTCTCCTGTCTCCGCTATTCTACCGAGGTTCTCTTTCCTCGTGTGCGTCACTTTTAGAGGTGCTGTGGGTTCTGAGTTCATCTTCATGGACGATAATTCTGCACCAGTGGCTGTCATAGAACTGTTGGAGAGTAAAGATATTTCACGGATGGAATGGTCGGTGAGGTGCTCGGATTTTAATCCGATTTAAGACGTAAGAGACACTCTAGTGAAATGCTTGGAAGAATGACCCCAGTAGCCAGCAACAATTCCGTATCTGCGATTTGCACTACAACAGGAATAGGCAGCAGTTCCTCAAGAGTCAATCCTGCGTAGCATGAGAGATATCATATCCCATACTAGTGTATCATATCCCATACATTAATACGGGGTTGACCAGGAAAATCCAGCATGGAATTTCCCTGTCAATCCCGTGTAACATTGATGCTTTGGTCATTTGTACAATTGTGTTCTAAGTTTATATTTCAATAAAGTTTCTTATTGCTCCTGTGGATTTCATATTTTACAAGATGTTTACTCCCCCATATTCCTACATTTTAAGATCTAATGGTATGATTTTCATCGAATTTCAACACTGCTGTTAAAATTTACATTCGAAAAACCATTTTGTCCTTAATTTTTGCACACCAGTGCATTATAAATCATTTTCGTGTTCAGTTTTAAATCGCAATTTTTGACAGCCTGAATTTTTATCATCCTGAAATGTCGTGATTTTTTGAGAAAACGCGAAGTATTAAATGTTTAAAAAAATTGCTTCCACACGTGTGTCTAATCCTCATTATTGGACTCCACCAACAATTGAAAATTTTTCTTGCTATGACCGGATAGTGAAGGGTATCCCTCAATATGACGGGGTATTACAATTTTTGTTTTATGCCGAACTTCAATTATCAAGTTTTATGTCGAACTTCAATTAGTAAGTATAGATCTCATGCTTGTGTCGAAATTCATATATCCTCAAAAATGAGAGAATAGAGATTCGTCTATTTTACAAAATGCTCCCTTGGTACACTTCCCAGGCAATGTTTTCACTTTATTAAGTTTGCTAGAAACACGATGTTCCAAAATTTCAAAAACCGTATTGACTTATAGACACCAGTAATACTCCAGAAGCATGTCTTAATAGCCACAAAAAAAAACTGGTTGTACAATTATTAAATTATTTCAATCTTTCCTTTCTAATACATTACTCCATTGAATTCAGGGCGTGATACGTTTTTGGGAAATTTAAGCATTTTAATTTCAGTTGACAAATTAGTCATTTGACGCATAGTGAGCCCAACATTGCAAAACAACTGCTGCTCCTTGCAAGCGAATTTTCCGCTATCTAAAACAAATAATTATATTAAAAAATAAGTCAAAATCTGATGTAAATGAAAAAAAAATCGATAAATCTACGATAAAATAGAAATAGCAAATCTTCGAAAGAAAGGTAAAACAACTTCTGCAAATACTGCCCCCTACCGTTGAGAACACGAAACACGGCCAAGAAAAAATTCAATATGTTACTCTTCTTGAAAGCAAGTTCGAAATTCTTCTCGTGTTTGTAAGTAAATACGGTACTATATTATCTGCTTTCCCTTACTAATCATAACATCGCTCATGGGCTGCAATAGTGGCACAACTAAAAAAAACACGAGTTTCGGACTAAGAACAGGGGTAAATATGGAAATAGACATTCTTTCAGCAACAATACTAGCACAACTCATAATTCAACTTGAAGGTAATCTTCGTTTAAGTAAACTAAAGCATTTCTAATGAATTTAGCTTAGCAATGAAAACTTTAAACTCACTTATCTCAAAACTTGAATTTTTGAGTTGTGCCACTATTGCAACCCATGAGCGATATATTGCTTCATTTAAGATATTTATTTATTATTGTTATAATTTTTTTTTAATTTTTCAGGATCGCTTCAAATCTGAATTTAAGTCGCAATGTCGCTGTAAGAAGCGCCAACGAAGTGAAGGTTTTGATTCCGACATAGTGCTGTATTCCATGTCGCTCTCTCAAACGAGGAGAAGTTACGTCGTCGACAACGTCCTCGGAGAACTGGAAAGATACCTACAATCTGAACAACAGCACCCAGTCCGTTCAAGTACAACGCAGTCATCTTGTGATTATTCAAATAATAATTAGTATAATATCAAGCTAAGTAACAACAAGTAGAAAATATCACGTAATAACATCACAACTTATCAAATATAACAACCTCATGTAGCCTAACTATACAAACTACAACGCAAAATTTTTATGAATTTAAGGGCTTGGGGCAATATAATAATAAGGCACATTTTAAAATTGTTCCATAGAACGTCCCTAGCGATTTCCATGGGTGGGCTCTGGGCTAATTGTAATGAATATAGCTTTCGGCTACTGTAACCTGGACAGGAATTCGATTTTCCGTGATAAATGCAAAGTGTCTGGTCGTAATGCACTTTCTTTAATAGTAAATTAGTTATTTGGAATTGAACCCATGCTATTCGAATGATTTCAATGATTTAGAGACAGAAAAGCCACCCAATTGTTGAGAAGCGTGATGTGAAGAGCGGGGTATTACTACTGCTTTTTGCTTTCCGATCGAAATTGTGGCAGTGTCCTTTGCACCAGTAATAATAATAAATAACATCATTTGTGCTGAATCCTAAACGGAAGCATATAGCTAGTGTAGCTCTAGTGGGCTCTAGTAAAAGTGTAACTTAAGTGGTGCGTTAACAATCAAATCAAATCAAATCAAATCAAATCAAATCAAATCAAATCAAATCAAATCAAAACATGCTAGCAATACTATGCATGTGCGTATGCACATGTTATGTGCTGTTAACAAGTAGAAATTTAAAATTTTGTGAAGGAACTATCTGGAAAAAGAAAAACCAATTAGAAGTTTGATTTAACAAACTCGCCTTTGTGAAAAAATGTAGCTTTTCTTAATACAATGCCCTAAACCCATCAAATATAATAACAGGTAGTTTAACAAATGAAACAGCAACAACAAAACCATATCTTATCATGTATGACAAAAATGAAAAGAAAAAAGTCATATCATCATTGTGTTTCTATCTATAACGTGAACATTATTCACTTTTAGCTAAAAATAACAGGTAATCACAACAGTTACGAGCTTTATTGAGTTTTCAAAATTTTTCTCGCAATTGTTATTGCCGTTTGGGATTTTCCCAGAAATCGAAAGAAAGGTTTAATCGCAATAAAAAAATGGTTAAGTTTCTGAAATTTCGAAAGTGGAATATTGTGTAGAGCTCAATAAAGGGTAGCTCAAAATTCGATTCACGAATTCAAAGGGAAGATAACAGTTTATCAGAGAGGTGATCAAGGGGAGGAAAACTATCATAGAACATAGCTTCACAAATCACGTTGACGGTTTGAAAAGCACAGAAAAACCTATACAAGTTCCAACGTCACGCTGGAAACCAGTACTACAATCTTCCTCATTAACAGAAATATTTATTTCAATAATTATAACAAGAGTTGTTGCAAGGTGTTACCATTGACATCATTGCATATTCTTCATAGACTTAAAAGTGTTGTCTGAATGTGCTCGAAGTTGACCGGTGTGCTTTCGATGTCTGCTGAAGCGAGAATAATCCGCGCTCTGAGATTTTTTGGTATGTCCACAGAATTTGCATGAATTAATGCTTTAATCCTTTCCTTCTCACTCCCGTGAAAATGACGGGTGGAGGTTTCGCCCTCTATTTCTCACTCCCGTAAAATTTCCGGGCTGGAGTGTTCAGTAGTAATGCGCCAATAAGAATAAAACTAATTCATTTCTTTTGTCCAGAGAACATTTTATTTCTCATTTTGCACACCAGATGGCAGTACCAGGATATTTTTAATGTAATTATAGATAGTTAGTTTATTTTAAACTAGGTGTTAGCACTAATCAAATGCGTGTATTTGGCAAAATAGGTACTTTTATGACCGTTTTCTTGAAAATTAACCGATCGTTAAGGGATTAAAGTGACTCCATAAAAAAAAAAGTCACGTGGATTGAGTTCCGGGGAATGAGCAAGCCAGAAAAGGGTTCCCAAGCATTCCATTCGACTTTTTCAGTTATGTTACATCAAGGTACTTGCACTCGAAATCTTGTCCCTTTCATCGCCAAATTTCCTAGCCAGTGTGCTTTTTTTCGCGATTTTCATCCCCTCAATGTGACTTCGTGATAGCGTGTTCTATGATAAGTTTTTATTCTCTCGTTATGTACAAAAATATTCTAACAGAACAACTAACAGGATAACTTTTGTATTTCGATCTCTACACTCCTTTTGTACTCGTGAGGCAGCCAACATAATAAAGGTAATCACATGTTCATAAGACAATATTTATTATTTATAACATTAAATATTAATTTGACATTAAACAATTTGAGATAGCCCTTTTTACACAAATATGGAGGGCAAAAATAAATTCTGAAAAAGAAGGAAAAATTAAAAAATATAGCAACTTTTTTAAATAAAAAGTATTTAACTCCAGTTTGAAAAGTATTAGTAACGTGCGTTTTCATTACGCTATGATCATAATAATATATGTTCAAAATAAAATTTTGAAACAAACGATTTAACAATTTTGCTTCAACTTTGAAAAAATTATTTTCAAACAGAAAAGGAAAACAAAATAATATGATATTTTACGCAAAACAAGTTAATGCTTTTTTACAAAAGTTTATATAGTTTCATAAAATGACGAATGATTTTCATCCGTCTTTAATCTTGGTTCAAATTTTATTCATTATTATTTGACATGTACAAGAGGATTCTAAAATCGTGGGATAAACATGGAGTGTTAGTAGAGCACATCATAAAAGGCTTAGGAATTGCATAGGAAACCCTTGACCGGAAATGTCATCTTAAGCCGCTAGGAATGCTTCTCCTATTAAGAGCTTTTTCTTCGCGTACCTTTGAACAAGTACTTTTATTTATCCAAATTATCTTAATTTTATGTTTTCTAATAGTAATTCCCATTAATTGCATTCAGATAGCAGTATTAGCCGTTTTATCGTAATGTAATAATTTGGTGTCTAACTTGACAAGTTCGCCAAATCATTAAATTACGACAAAAATGTAATACTAGATCAATTTAAAATCAGTTTTTGAGACCAATTATTGGAAAACATGAAATTGACATGAAACTAAGATAATTTACATCAATAAAGTTATCTGTTCAAAGGCACACGAAGAAACAGATCTTAATTGGGAATCAATGTCCCCCCCCCCCTAATGATATTTTACTTTTATGGGTTCCTAAGCAATTCTTAATCCTTATGGTGAGTTCTTTCTCTCATCAAGGTTAAACGATAATTTCAGAATCACTCTGTATTACTTGGAATAAGCATTTATGATGATGGCTTTACTAGCATTATGAAGTGGCTACTTTGCCTAATTGCTCAAAGAAAAGTGTGCTTTGAAAAATCAAATAAAAAATTTTTAAAAACTATTTAAAGTAACTGTTTTATAGTTTTAAACTAAGGCAAAAATTATATTATCTAAGAAAATATAAAAAAAATATCAAATTAAAAAAATAACTTAAAATTAGTAAAAATAGGTAATAAAAACTAACGCAAATAGAGAAAGACAAAATATATAACAAAAAGTCTTATTATAGTGTTTTTCTCATTTTATTTAATTGTTTCAAGAAAAAAGAGACACATCAAAAATTATTTCAATAAAAATTAATGTCAAACGCTCTCGGCGGACACAGGTCCTGAATAATTCATATTTAACTTAAATATTGAATATTTATTATAAATATAAAGATATTTCGAATTAGAATATCGCCTTCAGGGTTTGATTGTTATAAATTAGCGTAAGTTTTTAATAAATTATTTCAAATTAAAATGAATTATTACTAGAATTGAATGAATAAATTGAGTAAAGAAAGTAGTATGATCATATTTTAAAATTAAATTACCTCAAAAAATAACTCTCTTTTGCAACTTTAATGAAAATTCACACTTGTTTTAAAAATGTTGAGGAAATTTCAATATACTTTATAAACAGTTTCTTTATTTATACTTGTTTGCTTGTGATTTAAATTTTTCGAATGATACCTGTAAGGAAATTAAGCGCAGTTCTGAATGAATATTAATATTCATTAGAATTAAACTATTTTATGGTATTCAAAATATCTCTCTTTAAATTTGTCGTCTAATTTACTGATTTTTCTTTTTACGCAAGTAAAAGCAATTATCTAAACTGAAACAAAGATAAGCAATTCATTATATATTGTTAAGAACAAATTTAAAAATAAATACATATTAAATAGAATAATTTAAAATTGAACAGAAATTGCATTTTAGGAAGCGTTTCATATGTTTGTTTACTATTATATGCCGTTAGCTATTTTAAGAGATTCACTTTAAAGTGAATTTTAGAGTATTATTAATATAAGATAAATGTAAGTGTTTATCTTTGAGGAGAGCATTTTAGAATGGTTGAACATTGTAACATCGACATAGTAAAGTTGTAACATACTTGCTTGACATCTAAACTCTTCGGATTCAATTCGCTATTTGGGTCGCTTAATTTTCTATTAAATATTTTTTTTAATAAATTTTTTATTTACAATTATTATTAGTTGAAATATAAATGGATTTTTTTATATTTAACCTTTAAGTAATAATAAATAATGGTATTACTGATAAATAAATTTTTTAATTATTTATTGGAAATTATCAGAGTTTTTTTTCATTTAAAATATATTGATACACCAAGTTTCACCATTAACTGAATTTTCCAAATCATATTCTTGCTAATAATATGAAATGCATACACCAGGAATAAAAAACTGCCTCATCAACTAGTTTCATTTGTATATTTCTTAATAAGAAAAATCGTGTGAAAAATAATTCATTTGTATATTTCTTAATAAGAATAATCGTGTGAAAAATAATTAATTTGTATATTTCTTAATTAGAAAAATCATGTGAAAAATAATTAATTTGTATATTTCTTAATAAGAATAATTGTGTGAAAAATCGTGTATAAGCTTAACATTTTTTAATGCGAGTTTAAGTGTTATATTGTATCATGGAATAAAACTGTACATTATCAAGTAATGCAATATATACCAGTTCTTGCGTATATGCATTAACTTTGTTAAAAAGATTTGATGTTTTAAACAGATCCATTTATATGCATTGCGAATAAACTTTAACAACTTAAAATGTATGTTTTTCAAAACGGTTTTCGTAATGATTGCTTAATTTTTTTCTATAATTAAATTATAGAAATATTTTTCATATTTTTGGAAGCACTGGAAATCGATAAAAAATCCTCATGTTTCATGTTTCATTATGGATTTATAATAAAAAATTATAATTTAAGAATCTAATATTAATTTAAATCTAGTCTTGAATAAATGTCTCTTTCATACCTTGAATATTTAAATGAAATGCTCTACAGTTAGTTAGTGTTAAAATCAGCATTCGCATTTTCATTCAAATAGTAAATAAATATAAATAAAAAATTAAAAAAAGATGATAATAAAAAAATAATAAGGTTCTAAAATAATGACAAAGAACTTTTCTTATGCGATTAGACAAATATCAAACTAGTAAAAAGCACAATACTGAGAAATAAAAGAACTCATCTGCTACTCATGACTCTTAAACAGTCATTTGACAGTTGAAAATTTAATCAAAATTATAAAAAAGAAGTTTATCTTTTTTTAGTAACTTAACAAATCTACGAAAGAAAAATTTCATGAACCAAACTCACTATGCAATAAGCTTATCAGGTCTACTTTCTGCTTATATTACTTACCAAACTTCTAAAACACAATTCATAGGCAAATAAGCAAGGATACCACGATAAATCCTGCAATAATAAAAAAACACAGCATTACTACTTAACAAGAAAATTTTTTTAGAAAAGAAAAACTTTTTTGAATAAATAAAAGAGTAGGTATATATGGAGTGGAAGGGATTAACAACGTTTAATTACTGGAATAAGAGATTTTTCAAAAGGATGGAAATTGCATTTATTGTTATGCTAACAAAAGACGAGCTTACTACTAAAAGTAAACACAATGTAGAGCTTGTGAAGTAGTTTGTTATTGACATTAGTTAAAGGAGTAAAATATACGGGATCAAGAAAAATATATAGCTCGGAAAGTAAGATAAAAATAAACACCTTGTAAATATTCCAATTATTCGTGTTTATTATTCTACTTGTTGAGTGTTGTTAATTTTTTTTTTTGTGATTGCCAACATTGTTGTATTCAACTCTTCGTAGAGTCATTATTGTTATTACAGGGTGTCCTAAATTGGGCTAAAGGTTTCCAAAAATTTACAACAAGAAAACAGTTGAGTAAAAAACAACTCTTGCAAAAAAATGAATGTTACATGGCTTAAATGTTTTAGTTTTGAATTCCTGGTTTTTGTTCAAAATATTTCCAACAGATGCCGATGCAAATCTTTCATACAATAGCTTTTTGATGCTTGCAAATTCAACCTTTCGATTATAATATTTGATTGCGTTTGATTATTTCGAAAATAGGCAATGTGGTCTTCATTGAAAGATTTCGAAAACTTGTGATGCGATTTTTCTATTTTTTTTCTTTGTTTTTCTTCTTGCAGCGCCATCTATCGAAAATGCTTTCAACTTAGGCAAAAATTTCGGAAGAAAATACTTATTCCCTGTCACATGAACTTGTTGACCGAATTAATTTTTCATCCTTAATCATTTCTTGTTAAAAAAATTTGAAAACCAAAACCAATTTAGGTTACCATGTATATAGT